TAGTACCAGTAGTAACGCTAATAATGATAATAGTAGTAGTACGAGCAGAAGTCGTAGTAGGAGTAACAGCCGCAGTAGAAGTAGTAGTGGCAGTAGTAATAGTAGTAGCAGTAATCGTCGTAGTAGTAGGAGTAGTAGTAATGACGTCGTAGAAGTCGTAGAAGCCATAGTAGAAGTAGTTGTTGTAGTAGTCGTAATCACAGTAGCAGTAATAGTAGCAGTAGGCGTAGTAGTAGTAGTAGCAGCAGTAGTGGTAGTAGCAGTAGTAGTAGTAGTCGCGGTAATAGTAGTAGTCGTAGCCGTGTAGAAGTAATGGTAGTCGTAACAGCAGCAGTAGTAGTAGTAGTAGTAGTAGTAGTAGCAGTAGTAGTAGTAGTCGTAGTAGTCGTAGTAATAATGGTAGTAGTAGTAGTAGTAGTAGTAGTAGTAGTAGTAGTAGTAGTAGTAGTAGTAGTAGTAGTAGTAGTAGTAGTAGTAATAGTAGTAGTAGTAGTAGCGTAGTAGTAGTAGTAGTAGTAGTAGTAGTAGTAGTAGTAGTAGTAGTAGTAGTAGTAGTAGTAGTAGTAGTAGTAGTAGTAGTAGTAGTAGTAGTAGTAGTAGTAGTAGTAGTAGTAGTAGTGGTAGTAGTAGTAGTAGTAGTAGTAGTAGAAGCAGCAGCGGTCGTACTCGTAGTAGTAATAATAATTCTAATAGTAATAGCAGGATTTGCCTGGGCCCAGGGTCTCCAGGGGCCAGTGGGCGCCAAGTGCCAGGGTAACGCTTCAAGGTGCTGGCTGCGTTATCGTTCCTCTGGACGGGGGGGGGGTCCTAATTGCTCTCCTTGGTTTCTTGCCGGAGGATGCCAGGGGGTCTGAGCTGCTTTCAAGGGGCCCAGGGAGACACAACTGAATCGGCACCAGTTCCAGGATCCGCAACACTTTACAATATCTAATGGACGTTCCTCTCCTTCATACCGATAGGACCACCCTACTGGTGATAAGGAGTTTGGGGGGGGGAGGGCGGTCGATTTGCGATGGCTCTAGGTTCTTTGGTGGTTTCTTCAACTTTCCAATTGTCGTTCCTACTCTCTATCGACCTACGAATCGAATCATCTGCTCAGGACACCCAGATATCTAGTTATCTATCTGTCGTCTGTCTACTTATATACATATATATACACATATGTGTGTCTGCCGACCGATCTATATATGTGTATATCTCTCTATATGTCAACCTATACATACATCAATATACTATCTGTCTATCGGTATATATATATACACCAATCCATCGATCAATCGATCAATGTATCATTCGATCGATCGATGAATCTATCTATCTATCTATATATGATTCTCTCCATCTACCTACCTATCTATCTACCCACCTATGAACCATCAAGACAACCATCGGAACAACTATCGGGACAACCATGTGGACAACCACCAGGACAGCCATCGGGAAAACCATCGAGGCAACCATCGGGACAACCATCGGGACAACCATCGGGACAACCATCGGGACAACGATCGGGACAACCATTTGGAAACCATCGAGGCAACCATCGGGACGACCATCGGGACAACCATCGGGACAACCATCGGGACAACCATCGGGACAACCATCGGGACAACCATCGGGACAACCATCGGGACACCATCGGGACAACCATCGGGACAACCATCGGGACAACCATCGGGACAACCATCGGGACAACCATCGGGACAACCGCCGAGACAACCGCCGGGACAACCGCCGGGACAACCATTGGGACAACCATCGGGACAACCATCGGGACAAGCGCTAGGACAACCGCCGGGACAACCCGGGAGCCACGGCCAGCCAACGGGGGGGAGGGCGGCCCTTTCGGCAATAGAAGTGGCCCCTGCCAAGGGCAGGAACTCGCGCAGCTTCGCCTCGCCCGCACGCGCGGCACAAAGCGAAACCGAAACCGAGTTCCAGGTTGGGGCCCCAGAACACACAAATAAATACACACAAATAAAGATATTCCCTATATTTTCTCATATTTTCTGGGTTTTTGTCTTCCCCCCCACTTCCCATATTTTCCAATATTTTCTAAGGGATCGCCGATTAATTGTGTCTGTGTGTATCTTTCCCTCGTGACCAACCTCCGATTTTCCAATGGCTTCGTGACAGCGTTGGCCAGCGTGGATCCCAGACGGTGTGTTGGCATATCATGTGTTGCATGCAATCTATGCGATAGGAGTTGGCGTACGCATCCAAATGATGCGAACTACGTGGTGAAAGCTATGTGGTGCCGTCTATATGGTGCGATCTGCGGGGTGTGAGCTATGTCATGCATCATATGTGGTGCAATCCGTGTGGCGTGATCTGTGTGGTCTGAGCTATGTGAAGCAGTGTAAGTGGTGCAATATAAGCGGTGCACTCTATTTGGTGCGAACCGTAGTGGTTCACCCAATGCCTATGCAGTGCAATGTACGTGGTGTGGTGAGCCATATGGTGTAGGCTATGTGGTGCAATATATGTGGTGTACGCTACGTGGTGCAATATATGTATATATATATATATGCGGTGAAACTGACTACCCTGCACCGCGCTTGACCACTCTCCTGCTCGCGCAAACATCCCACCCACCAACCCGCAACTTGGTTCGCAAAATCTCTTAAGACCGTGACGGTGGGTACCAAATGGCACTTGCCAACGACAGCGACGCCGACGACGACAGCGACAACGACGACGACGACAAACTTATGTGGTGCAAATTTTGTGGCGTGAGCTACGTGGTGTAAGACAGGTGGTGCAAAACATGTGGTGCACTCGATGTGGCGCAAAGCAAACCAATGCAATGCAGTGCAAAACAACACGCATCAAGGCAAACACATGTAATACACCCCGACGCACTTGCATGCAAACCAATGCGAAGCAATGCAAAACAATGCAATGCAATACAAAGCAATGTGTAGCAATGCAAAGTAACGCAGAAAAGTACAAAGGCAATGCGATGGCAATGCAAGGCGGCGACGGGGCGGCGAAGACGACCACATGGCGGCGGACCCGACAACGGAGCCCAGACGACGGGCGGCGACGAGGCGGCGACGGGGCGGCGAAGGCGACCACAATGAGGCGGACCCAACAACGGAGTCCAGACGACGAGCGGCGACGAGGCGGCGACGGAGCGGCGGCGGCGACCACAAGGTGGCGGACTCGACAGCGGAGCCCAGTTCCTTAGAGAAGCCAGAAGAACCCCTAAGTGCAAGCACCGTTTGGGGAATCAACGTTTATTTCTGTCTGTCTATTTTCCCTCCAGGATAAAACGATACGTTCATAGACCAGGACGCTCTCCCGCTCAAACCAAATCCGATCGAAATCGACCCCCAGACCCCTGAACCCGTCTGGGGTCCATCCCCAAATCCCCTCGGGTCGTGAAACAAAACACGACTGGATATTTTCAACTATTTTCGGCCTCGAGGGGCCCTCGCCGGGCCCGGGAACCGTCAACAAACGACTCAGGATGAGAAGTCGGCCCCGGGGAATGCGTCAAGACCTCTTGGGGGCGGGGTCGACGTCCTGCAAAAATCATGACGTCGGGGGTCACGGCTGAGCACTCCTGGGGTCCATCCTGGCCTGTTTTTCTAAGCGGATCCAGCCATTTTGACGAGAAGGCAACAGGAGGCCCGAAAAGGACGAGCGAAGCTGGCGCGAGGCCATTTAGGGGCCTCTTTCTTCCATCGCACACAAAACAGTTCTAAGCAATAGGACGCAATGCAATGCATTGCTTGGAATTGCTTGGCGTTGCCTGGCGTTGCGTGGCGTTGTGTGGCATTGCCTGGAATTTCTTGGCGCTGCTTGGCATTGCCCGGCGTTGCTTGGCGTTGCCTGGCGCTGATTGGCATCGATTGACACTGCTTGGCGCTGCGTGGCACTGCTTGGCCCTGCACGGGCAACCCTTGGGCAACCGTGGGGGGAACGCCGGCCGGGAAGGGCCCCGCACCTATCGGTTTTCCAGCGAGCAGGCACGAAGGCCTCGGGCAAAGCCTTGTTATTTCATTTGGGGAAGCGCCGGGAAGGGCCGCCGTTCCCTCGACTGGCACGCCTCCGAGATCTGCCGTGTCCTGGCCTCAGGGGCCCTGGTCCGCCTCCGATTCTCGTCGGGCGCTGGTGATTTGTCCCCACAGCTCGCGCGCGGCGCGGGCGCCGCCCTCCCCCTTCCCCAACCCACACCCCCTTACAGTCATCGTGCTACCACGAGGAGCGCTGCGTGAGGAAGGAAGGGGCTGTTCTGGCCCCAGGGAGCCACGGCCACGAAGAGGTTCCTCGACCTAGATTCTAGGTCGAAGGAGCGGCCCGAGGCCCAGATCCCCTTCGAGTTGGGGATCGACTGCAGGATCGACTTGCCCCAATATTGATTTTCCGTCGACTCCACGAAACATACCCACACTGGCCCGTGGATCTACGAACTATTCTACGTCATTTTTCCCATGAGTTCGACGAGGAAATCAATTTTGGGGTAAATCGATTCTGTAGTCCATCCCCTACTCTTGGCGGCGCGCACAAGGGGGTATGGGGAGGGGGGAAAGCTTCTTAGAAGGAGGCTGCTCCTTAGAAGGCGCCGGCCTCACATCTACAGACAAGGCCAGCGCCCTCTAAGAAGCAAGGGTGCTTCTGAGCAGCCTTCCCCCCTCCCCCCTGCCCCCCCTCTGCGCGTGGCCGATACTCGACTTGAGCAGGGACCGACCGTCCCGGCATTTCTATAGTCCTACCACGAAATGTTCTCAGAACCCAGAATTTTCGAATAACAAAAACAGTGTTCTTGGATAACACAGACCCGATGTGCGAAAACAAGACCGCCCCAGCCAGACATGTTCTCAGAACACTCCTTGGTGGGACCCTGGGCGAGCAGTGACGCTTCGCCACTGCCTGAGCGACCCCTCCCCCGAGCCCGCAGCGGCTCGTCTTGCAGCGTCCCGACGGTGCGGGCACGCAGGGCTCGGGCAGCAGGGCCCCCTCGCGGCCGGCCCCCCCCCCCCCCCGGGGAGCGCCGCAGCATGTCCGCATTCCCGACGATGAACATGCCGTGCCTCGCCCCGCTCCAGAGGCGGGCGGGCGGGTGTTTTGGCTGCTCCCCTCTCCACCTCTGCCTCCTCGGCTGAGGAGGCAGAGGTGGAGGCAGAGGTGGAGGAGGAGGAGGAGGAGGAGGAGGAGGAGGAGGAGGAGGAGGAGAAGGAGGAGGCGGAGGCGGAGGAGAAGGAGAAGGAGGAGGAGGAGGAGGAGGAGCGCGGAAAGAGTCTTGTCAACCGCACGCAGCCGAGGAGGCAGAGGAGGCAGAGGAGGAGGAGGAGGAGGAGGAGGAGGAGGAGGATCACGCACCAATACCTGTATTCCCACTGGGTGCATCGGCAGAGGCATCTCGACGTATTTGAACTTGATTGCGGAAGCTGCAAACCACATTTCCCCACGAATGGTAATGGTGATGGTGACGCCGGTAACCGTGCCCCACTCCCATGGAACACCCATGTGACATCTCAGGCTTGTTGCGACGATGAAGATGCTGATGCTTCTGATGATGATGATGCTGATGATGATGATGATGATGATGATGATGATGATGATGATGGCACTGCCTGTGTTGAGGCGCATCTGTAGAAACGGCGCCAACAGCAGCGCCAACCTCGACAGTCAAAACTCAGTGAACGGCCCGAGCCCAACGTGGCCAACGTCTGGGGAACGAAGGGGTCAGGCATGTCCTCCTACAGGCGGCTTTTGGACGAAACATGAAAAAGTCAAAACAAATTCGGCAGTAGTCCCAAAAAAATGCAAATCGTCCCCAGACTATTCTGTAGAGGGACAGGCCCGACTTAACGATAGGGGGCGGGCCCTGGCTCTGGCGGGGAAGCATGGACCAAATCGGCGATAGATCTTGAAGGTCGCTGGGGGGGCAGCGTTGTTTCCAGGGCCAGATCCCCGTACGCTCGGCGGGCGCGTTTGATCGGTCAACAGCAATCCTTACCGCCGCCCTTCGCGAGAAGCTCTGATTTCAGGTCTGCTCTTGCCCACGATTGGGCTGCTCATGTTTGCTCTTGCCCTACGAAAGCATTGCCCTATCCCCCGTCGCCCCAGAAACACAGACCGCGTTCGCTGCCCCTCAGCGAGCTTCAAGATAGATCACCGATTGATCGGCGCCTTGCCTGGGCAATGCCTGGAGCACCCGAGGCCCGATCGGCGAAGAGTCGGCACCAGTGGGTCGATATTCATCCCCCCCTCCCTGCGCCTATCCCTCCCTTAATGCGGGATGACGATTCATAAAAAATGGGGGAGAACGATTAAAATCATAGTTTTCTGCTATTTCTGCACATTTTTCTGACAAGATGAGAACGATTAAAAAGAATGGTTTTCCAGCCCGCAGCCGGTTGTTTCTAATCGTCATCCCGGGCGCCGCCGCGTGAATCGTCCCTCCCTGTGCCTATCCCTCCCTTAATGATACCCCTTGGTTTTTTGGCTGCTGCAGTCGAGGCGTTGACCTAAGGAACCCTAAATAAGGAACGAGGCCCCTATTTTCCATAAGTTGAACTTCGATTTCGTGTCGAAAACCTAAGGAAAATCCAAGGCAAGCTGCGAAACAATTAAGGAACACGGAGCCCCTCCCCAACGAAAGGGTTCCTTCTTCAGGGCCCCGACTGTATATCGGGGGCGCGCAAACATGGATTAGCGATCCATGGATTTGGCGCGCGGTCGCCAAATCCATGGATCGGAAGAGCTGCCCTTCCCACAATGCGGCAGGTGCCGCCTCGTTCGGCGGCGGAAATTTGATTTCCCATAGGTACGGGACCCGTCGCTAATCCACGCCCCCTTGATCCATGTTTGCGATCGCCTGGCTATCCCTCCCTGATGATGCCCCTTGGTTTTATGGTCATAACTCGGCTCTCCGGCGGCCGTTCGGGACGATCTGGGCCCCCCCCGAACGCTCTCGGAGAGGCGCAGCTGCTGGAGAGCATCCCGAGGCCGGAAGGGCCGCCCAGAACCAACGAGCACGTCCGAACACCCCGAACCTCGAAACTTCGCCCTCCCACCGAGCCTATCCCCCCCCCGCCCCCCTCGCTGCCCCTAACACTCACGCGACGGCAACACTTCGCGCCCCCGTGGCCGTCCAGCCTCCGGCGGGGCACGCCGAGCTCCCCCCGACCGGCTGCCGCCCCGAGAAGCCCTCGTCGGCCAGAGCGCGCGGGCCTGCTTTGCCGCTCCCTCCGGGGCCCTCTCCAGCGGGGCGGACGAAAAGGGGGGGATATGAGGTGTGGAGGCTCCAGGAAAACAAGATCTCGTGGGCTTGTTTTCCACCACCACTATATGTTGGAGGGGGAGCCTCCTCCTCCTCCTCCTCCTCCTCCTCCTCCTCCACCTCCCCCTCCTCCTCCTCCTCCTCCTCCTCCTCCTCCTCCTCCTCCTCCTCTTCGTCCTCCTCCTCCTCCTCCTCCTCCTCCTCCTTCCCCCCTCCAGCTTATGGTGGTGGTGGTGGTGGTGGTGGAAAACAGGCCCATCAAGATCATGATGATGAGCAACTTTCCCATAGCACAAACCGGTCCGAATAATTATGTAAAAACATGAAGCAGGAAGGCGAACCAAGTAGATTGGGCTCGGGCTCTCCCAGAAAAGAACAAACAACAGCAAACACATTTCGATTAATGGAATAGGAAGGCGCTTGAAGTAGATTGGGATCTGGGAGCCCAAGAACACCTACTTTCAACGACTGGCGTGTAGCTTTCCAAGTGTAGCCTTGCATCCTTGTCTCTCGGCCCATCCTCAGCCCTCCGCCGCGAGTCGCGTGCTTCCAACTGCGTCCTCAAACTGGGCGCCCAAGGACCCTGCATCCTTGCCGCGCCTCCGTATGATCCCGCTGCGCTGTAGTGAAGCAGCTCTCCCGTGGCCGGTTCTCGCGGCGCCCCCCGGCGCCAAAGGGGCGGCACCCTCGCAGAGGAGGGCGCTCGGCGGCGGGGCCGAGGCTGGCCGTGCGCGGCAAGCTTCGTGCCCCCTCCTCCTTTCCCAGTCCCCCCCCTGCTCATATGACACCTGACGGTGCGACTTGTCGGTCACCACGTGGACCCTCGGAAGTCTCGACCCCTTCCCGGAGCCGCTTTTTCCTCCCGAGCCGGTTCTTGACGGCCCCGCGGGGGCCTTGCAGGGGCAGCGAACCTGGCCAGAAACAGCCCGTGCTGATTTTGTCGCGGCTCGAGGGGGTCTGGGCTTTGTCCGACCTGACCTCATGAAGGGGCCCAGGGACACACTAATAAATACATACGAATCCCAGGATTCCCTATATTTGTTCATATGGTCTGGATTTTCGTCTTCCCTCCATATGCAATCTTTTCCCATATTTTCCGGGGGATCGACGACTCATTAATTCTTGACGCTTCGATTATCCCCACCAGCCCATCCAGAAACGATCAGCAGGAGAGTCGGTGAATCAGGGACGGCAAAACGCATGCAGTTGCGCAGCCGTCTTCGGGAAAACAAGAATCACAAAGAGCTTCCCGCATTGAAGTATAAGATGGAAATCAGTGCAAGCTATAGTGGTGCTTCGATGAGGGGTGAGGGGTGCTTCGATGACTCGCAATGGCTGTTGCACTGATTTGTATCTTAAACGCGCGTGCGTTTCGAAACTTGGAGCCATCTTGGGCTCTCTTGGGGTTCCCTCGGGGCCCTCTTGGGGCCCTCCTGGAGCTCTTTCTTGGGGCTCTCTTGAGGTCCGCTTAGTGCCTTCTGGGAGCCCTCTTGGGGCTCTTTTGGGGCGTCTTGGGGCCCTCCTGAAGCTCTTTTGCGGGGTCTGGGGGCCTCCTTTGGGGCTCTTCTGGGATGCCTGAGGGGCCTCTTGGGGCCGTCTTGGACCCTTTCGCTAAAAAAGATGGGGGGTCCTAATTCCCATCGCCCCCTCGGAGGCTCAAAAATGCCGTCTTGGGGCCCTCTTGGGCCGCTCTTGGAGCGCTCTTGGGCGCTGTTGGGGCCGTCTTGGGGCCCTCTTGGACCCCTCTTGGGGCTATCTTGGGCAGTTTTGGGGCCATCTTGAAGCCTCAAGAGCCCATCGGATGCGAAAAAGCGAGAAGGCAAGCAACCAACATTGATTTTCCTTAGGTTTTTGAGCCTCTTGGGGGAGTCCCCGGAAGGCTCGGAGGGCACTTGAAGCCGTCTTGGGGCCGTCTTGAGGCCTCTTGGATGCGTGTCGGAAACTATCTTGAGCCATCAACCGCTATCTTGGGCCATCTTGGAGGCCATCTCGCACTCTCTGAAACCCTCTTCGAGCCATCTTGGGCCGAAAAGGGCCCCCTGACACCTCGCGGGGGAGCCCGTCCAGACGCAAGGAGGGGGGGGGGGGGGAGGTGAACCTCCCGAGCAGGGAAAGGAAGGAGGTTGGACAGGAAGCGCTCTAGACCACCTGCGCCCAGAGGGCCGGTGGGATTGCGTCTGTGCTTTTTCCCTCCTGAGTGCAGGGTGTCGGTCGCCCCGCAGGGGTGCGAAGGCAGCCCCTCCTCCCGGGGGTTGCATGCAGGTGCCCCTGGGCCACGGTGCGCCCCCAGCTTCCCGCTCCGTCTGGGAGATCCTGGGGCCCCCTGGGCCTTGGTGAAGGGTGCTCTGGAGGCCGTGGGGGGCCTCCTTGGAGATCCTGGGGGCACCTTGTAGGGGAACGAAGGCTGGCATGAGCATTGAAAACGCGGACGTCTGCGCGGATTTCTTGGATCGGCGCTGGCGCGCGCAGCGCGCCAGGGGCCGGCGCCGGAGGCGCCACCAGGGGGGTCCAGCGCGGATCTGAGAGATCCGCGCGGGCCTCAGAGTTTTAATGCTCACGCCATTCTTCGTTCCCCAGGAGGAGGAGGAGGAGGAGGAGGAGGAGGAGGAGGAGGAGGAGGAGGAGGAGGAGGGGAGGAGGAGGAGGAGGAGGGAGCCGAGAACGGACAGTGGCGGTGTGTGTGTGTGTGTGCACCAAACCCCTTTATGGTCCCAGCGACCACTTATATAATGAGGCTACACACAACGACTCCATAAAGGATGACGCACAGTGCCTACTCAGTAAGAGCCCATGCGGCGAAGTGGCAGATGGAAAACATCCCCAATCCTAGTAAGACACGGGCGGGAGCGGGAAGGGGAGCGTTCTCGGCTGGGGTGCCAGGGCCTCGTCCTGCTGCAGGGAGAGGCGCGGGAGCGCGGAGAGGCGAGACCGCGCCTCGCGCGGCCAGCGCCAAGCTGGGCGGCCTGGCCCAAGGTGGGGTGCCTCCTCCTCCTCCTACTCCTCCTCCTACTCCTCCTCCTCCTCCTCCTCCTCCTCCTCCTCCTCCTCTCCTTCCTCGCCCTCGTCCCCCTCGCCCTCGTCCTCCCCCACCTCGCCCTCGTAGCGGGGGGGGGCGGCGAAGGCATGGCTCTCTGCCGCCGGGGGAGCGCTCCCTGGGAGGCGCGGGCCAGACGACCTCGGCAAACTGACGGCGGCGGCGGTCTCGAGCAGGCCGGGCGCCCGGTGTAGTAGCTATGTCGCCCAGGGTGCTGTTGCGGCCCCCCCGAGGAGGAGGAGGAGGAGGAGGAGGAGGAGGAGGAGGAGGAGGAGGAGGAGGAAGCATATCTTGATCGTCGTCCTACATTTTCGTACTGCCCGCGGATGTCATCGCCTTCGCCACGCAGCGCGCTGGGTCCTCCTTGCCTCGCATCCTCGCGCGCGCCCGTGGAAGATCGCAGACAGACAGGACTGAGCGGCCTCCCCTCTCGCGCACCGGCACGGGTCCTCCCGGGGGTCCGAGCCCGTGGCCCCGAGCTGGGATGCGACCAGTTTTCACCACACGAGGACCGAGCGCGGAATATACTTGCGGCCATAAGTGTACCCAGCTCTCGCCCAGGCCAGCCACGTCAACGTCCAGCTTCCTGACGGTATCCCCTACCTTCCCGCTGCCCCTCGAGGCAGGCATTCATAATCATGACTGTGTATCCTCGACCTCCTCCGTCCTCCACCTCAGTCTTCTTCTCCTACTGGTGTTTCCTCATCTTTTTCGTCATCGTCCTCGTCGTCGGTTGTTTTCCCCTCCCAGTCTTTCCCCCTCTCCACCGTCCTGTGCGTCCCCTTCCCTTTCCGCTGGGCCCCTTCCTAGCGCGTGTGAGCGCCACGTTGATGCGGTTCTCGACGGCCAAGAAGCCCATGGACCTGTTGCGATTGGATCGCACCTGCCGCCAGGATCCCGCCAGCGCTGAAACCAACAGTCTCACTTTTTCGTACAACTGCCTGTGGAACGGCACAAGTATTACACGACAGTGGCTGCCATCGACTAGATATAGAACTCTGGAATGTCTCTCCATATCGAAAATTCCCACTATATGTCCAGCCCCTTTCCTGCAATTCAGCGCAACTCTTTCACATGTCGTGCCAATATTCGGGGATCATGTGGCAACATATGTGTCCACCGACCGTGCGACCCCACTACCCTGGACGGCAACTCAGAACTGCATACTGCGGCTCTGCGAACGCAACACGCGCAGATTGCTCTACGCATGCTTTCGTTCGCACCCCGCGCCTCCACTTGGCCGAGCTGCGAGTGACTTTCTCTCTGGCGTCTTCCTCCCTGCGGCCCACGCGTCCCGCAAACCACCTGCTCAAAGGCCCTTCGGCCCCGAGCACGTCTCGACGCAGGGCTCGCTGGCCGTGCCGGCAGCTCTAGCGGAGGAACGGGCACAACAGTGATCGAGGAGGACAACAAAGGAGAGGAGGGGGAGCGAGGGGCAATTGGAAACACAAAGCGAGGCAGCCGATCCCCACCAATGAAATCACGATGATGTCATTCTCCTCTCCTTGGAAGTTGTCCACGGCAGTGACCTGCAACGGCCGCCAGGCTTGCATGCAGCAACGGATGCAGAAACGCAACGGGGAGATACAGCCGTGTGGATATATATATATATACATATATATATATGGAGAGAGGGAGGGAGAAAGAGAGAGAGAGTGAGGGAAGGAGAGATAGAGAGTGAGAGAGAAGAAATGCAGCTGTGGACATTGGCAGATTAGAGGTTAACGTCCGGAAGACCGAAACAACTTGGCACTAATACGTGTAAATGCAAGCAAGCGTGTAGTTTATGGGCCGGTAGAAATTTGCACATGTGCATGCACGTGTGATTGCATGTGTGCATATCGATACTTGAGAGAGAGAGAGAGAGAGATATAACAGCAACTATAACACGACACACACGACATACAAGCCATAGAGGACATATCCAGGCTTACACGCATGTACATGTGTATGTATGTATGCATGCATGTATGGTTGTATGCATGTAGGCATGTGTGTGTATGTAGGTAGGGGTGTATGTATGTATGTATGTATGTATGTATGTATGTATGTATGTATGTATGTATGTATGTATGTATGTATGTAGATATGCACATGTATGTATGTATGCATGCATGCATGTATGTATGTACGCATAGCTATGTATGTATGTGTGCGTGTATGCATGCATGTATACATGTATGTGCGTACGTATGTATGTGCGTATGTATGTATGTGTGTCTGTCTGTATGTATGCATGTCTATATGTACGTATGTGTGTCGCTATATACGTATACAATATGACTCTATGTATGCATGCATGTATGTATACGTGGATGTGTTAACGTATGCATGCATGCATGCATGCATGCATGCATGCATGTATATATGTATGAATGTATGTGTGCATGTAGAGACACTGCAAAGAGGGAGAGAGAGAGAGAGGCGAATAAAGCGTCGTCCTCGTCCTCGTCGGCGTCCTCCTACTCATGCTCCTCCCCCTCTCCATAGCCTACCATCACTCTCCGCTTCTCCTGCTCCTCCTCATCTTCCTCCTCCTTTTCCGAGGACGAAGCCAGGACTGGAACAAAGCGGGGCTGGGATAAATCGGGGACCTCTGAGATCTGGCGCTTCTGGAAGATCGGACGCCGCGGGATTTCCAGAGCGCTCCGAAACGCTCCAAGAGCGCTCCGGAACGCTCTGGATCGACTTGTCCCTTGTCCTGGGCACCTCCGATTGTCTCCTCCCGGGAATATCAAAACAAAAATGGCATAAACATATTTTTTCGGAGATCCTCGCAGATTTCTTAGAGCTGCGCTGGACCCCGCTCCCTGGAGTGTGGAGCGCGGCAGGGGCGGCGCCAGAGGCGCCGCCAGGGGGGCCCAGCGCAGAGTCAAGAAATCCGCGCGGAGCTCCAAATGTTTATGTTTATCGCAATGCGCCAACCTGGATCCAGTCCCTCCCACCCACCGATGATGGATGAAGATCATGTTTGCCTCATGGAAGTTGCTGGTGCACAGACTGCAACTTGGACGGGGGCACCCTTGCCTGAATCGAACGATCCTCGAGGCTCGTCGGGTACCACCCATCACCACCCACCTATGCAAGAATTACGGGATTCAAGGGGGGCGGGCTTTTGCAGTACGTGCAATCGTCTTTAGCCAGGATATGGACAACTGCCTCGGTGATGCAACAATGCCGCACTTGTTTTGGGCGCTAGAGCCACAAGGGGCCCATCAATGAGAGGATGTTCCGCCCGGTGCGAAGCGCAGTTACCGTCGCATGATAATGTCGCAGTTGGCGACAGTCAACCACACTTAAGTCGGGCCTGTCCCCCTACAGGGGGATTTTGGGCGAAAAACGAAAAATACTCCAAAAATGCCCCCCAAGTGCTCCAAAATATTCAAAAAATTGTCCCCAGACTATTTTTTGAATTTTCTCTCTGTAGAGGGACAGGCCCGACTTAAAACCACACTTTGTTGACGCCGTCTCTGACGGCCTGCTGGACCACATCTTGCGTGGGAGCTCACTTTTCGGGGAGCCTGCGCCTCGCCCCCAGAGGCGGTAAAGGCAAGCCCTTCTCGCGTTTTCTTTTTGTTTTGTTTATTTGTTTTTGTTGTTTTTCTGTGTGTGTGTGTTTCTTTTCTAAGAAAATGAAAAACACAACAAAAAAGCGCATGCCCTGCAAGCCCCAGGAAGCTCTCAGGATGCGCGGCTGATGTGGGCCCCTCGCTGTGTGGCGCTGCCTGTTCAGAACCGAACACGCACTGCACACTCGAAGCCCGCCCTGCCGCCCTAGCAAGTCGGCCGATGTTGCATTAACACGCAGGGTTATATCACACAGCTCTCCTTTCTCAAGAGACAGAGAAAACGAGGAAAAGACCTGAACCTCCATCGTGGTCGGGTCGCGCTTCAGCTTGTTCTTTAGCAGCCGCACCTCTCCGCGCCAGGCGCGCGATCAGGAGCTTATGGGGGCAGCCTTTCCTCCCCCTCCTCAACCTGATCCCCCTCCTCCTTCCTCCGCCTTCCTCTTCCTACCTTCTTATCGTCCTCCCACCTCGTCCTCCTCCTCCTCCTCCTTCCTCCTCCTTCCCCCCCGTTCCTTCTTCCCCCTCCTCCTGTTCGGTGTTCGCTGTTGGCTTCGGTGTCGCAATCGACGGAGCCCCCCCTTCCTCCTCCTCCTCCTCCTCCTCCTCCTCCTCGTCCTCGTCCTCGTCCTCCTCCTCCTCCTTCTCCTCCTCCTCCTCTTCTTCCTCCTCCTTTTCCTTTTCCTCCTCCTCGCTCCTCATCTCCCTACTTCTCTCTAATCCTCATCCTCCCCTCATCCTCCCTCCCTCCTCCTGCTTCCTCGCCCCCTCCTTCTCCCTCCTTCTCTTCCTCACGCTTTCCTTTGGGAGCTCCTTCCTTTCCCCAGGAAGCTTTCGGGCAAAATGCAATGTTTTATTCAATGCAGCCAGCTTCATCTCGAACAGCTCGAGCTGTCTACAGACTTTGAAGAGTGAAGGTAGAGCTAGGAAGGCTGACCAGTTAGAAGGATCGGAATGGCAAGAAGGTTTGGACATGTCAGAACAGCCCGGCGAATGAAACGACCCGATTGGATATACAGCTCAAGAGTAAGAGGTGCCAACCGAATTCAACACATGAAACCAATTAGAGCACACGCAGGGGTTACACTCGTGAGACGCGCTTGGCATATTCTCATAAAGCGGCGAGCTCGACGAGCTGGAATCGTTAAGTCGGTTGTAACTCTGTTGGGCAAGACCTGTACATGCTGAGGGGAGCGAGATTGCTTAGGCGTATTAAAAAGTCGTTGGAATCTTATCAACTATAGAGCGGTGCCTGTCCTGGTCTGTGAGTCTGACCTCCTACCGCCGACAGCACCATTAATGAGGAAAAGGAGCGACCGGGAACATAGCTGCAATACGTCTCAGGACTCAACAACATTCTACCTGCGATCTGCGCCTCACACGGCACCAAATAAAGTCGAGCTTGCCCTTGAACCCAGCATGTGTTCCCTATCCAATCCCTACGATGGGGAAGCCACGGCTCCCTGTCTTGTGCCACATCCGTCAACTTCAGCCCGATGCCTCGGAAATAACTGTTGCATTGGCGCTCCCAACTCCAGGGCGCAACCCTCTCCAAATGTCCTTCATGGTGAAACACAGCTGTCCATGGTGGCCTTCCGTTCGGCATCCCTGTGGCGCACCACCGCGCCCACCACATGCGAAGAATTTCTGGCCAGAGCGCGCCGGATATCCCCAGCATGATCGTACATGCGCTTCAGGTCGTAGACGTCCAAATACGCCAGCCCGCCTTCCTGCTTTATCCGCCTGAATACCCGGTTGCGTCGTCTGTGAGAAGCTTCGTCCGCGTCGTCCAAGTACCAGCTGACTCGGAGAGATTATTTGGCCCGACTGGTAAATCCCCCCCGCAGGGTGGTGAGCTCTCTTTGCGCCACTGTCCACGCTCCCACGCTCCCACACTCCATCGAACTCAACTTCATTTTCGGGGCCACTCCCAAGCATCTCCAGAGATTATGTTTGTTGATGCAGTCGCAGAACTGCAAACGTGCCGCTTGAAAAACGGCATCTGCGTGCGAGGCTCCACCACTCACGGACAGGTAGAACAGGTCGACGAGCTAGACGATCCCAATCTCTAGACATGTTAGGGTAACTCTGAGCCGACACATAATCGGTAGATGAGTGAGAATCATTAGAGAAGCGGCGCGAGTTCGAACAACAAATGTGAATACTTAAGAGTGGCTAGACCACACACGAAACGCTGCCACAATAACCCAGGTCAATGACATAAGACCCGTCGCGGAATGTCCAAGGCCCTCTGGGGATACTCCACACGAAGCGCGTTCCACGGTGAAGAGCCGAAACACGAAGAGCATAAGGTTACCCTTCCCAATCTACGGTTGCTCTGAGCCCTTGTACAACGAGTGGTTTGGCAGGTTAACAGTCAATGCTGCCAATCCGACGCGAAGCCAATTGCAAACCGAAAGCTGCATCCAACCCCACCCCTGGCGTCCCTATCACCTGAGAGCCGTCTTACAAACGGGTTTACATGCCCCCTGGTCGTCTGGCTCTGGTGATGGTCGTCCCTCTTCTTCATCCATCCCGCTCCTCCCCCTCATCGGCGAGCTTCCGTGTTCCTCATTCTCATGCTCCTTCCCCCCCCTCCTCTCTCCTCCTTCCTCCTCCTCCTCATCTCCTTATTCCTCCCTCCTCCCGCTCTGCCTCCTTCTAGTTGCTTCTGGGTCGCCAAGCTTCCCGCTCCGCGCTGCTCGAAGTACGGTTATCTTCGCGCTCTCGCGCCCCCCCCCAGAAGAACAGTCACTTGGTGGCTCCACATGCGAGGCGCGATCATCGTCGCGCTCTTAAGGGTGACCCTGCCACAAAGACCCAGCGCCTCCTCCCCTGCCAATCTCCGCGGCTTGGGTCGACTCCAGCCGGCTCGAATTCGACGTCGGCAGCGCCACCTGGCCCCCAACAACTGGCCCAACACACAACCCGACCACGGACCGACACAGTTGTGCCGTCCAGCTCGGGTATGATAACGAACCCTGGGCCCTCCTGACACGTACCGGGGGATGACCAGTGGCAGACTTTTCCCGAAGTCGCACACGCGCGCAGCCATGGCCAACCGATGACCGGCAGCGAAGTTGCGTCGAGCCCCGAGTAACGCGAGGCACCCAGCGAACACATGAACATGTCGATCTATAGCAAACGTATGCCTGACACCGTCTTGTCAATACCCTACCGCATGTCCTTCTCCTAGCCCTTCTCTCGATCTCCCTTTCTCCTGCTCGCCCCCAAATCCAATCCATCCAAGCCGGTGGCAACATCAAAGACAACCACAACGAGAGGACGGGCCCCACCCCCTTACTGGTGCTCAGATCAAGTGCGGAACGCAGCGCCTGGCCGAGATACGGCGACAGCACCGTGATCTGTGACTCGTCGTAGCCACTGGCGCAGGAGGAGGAGGAGAAGGAGGAGGAGGAGGAAGAGCATACATAGCAGGCACGAGAGGAGGAGAAGAATGAGGATGAGGAGGAGGTGTAGATGGTTGGGGAGAAGGGGGGGAGAATTATTAACTTACGTGGACAAGCGATTATTAACTTACGTGGACAAGAATTATCAACTTACGTGGACAAGCGTGGAATTATCAACTTACGTGGACTTACGTGGACTTACGTGGACAACTTACGGGAGCCCCTCCTTACGGGGCCCGCTCCTCATGTTAGTGATCCGAGCGGGCCATTCGAAAACTGTAACCGTCGTCAGTTGGGCCCTCGAGGCTAGAATCTTGATGGCGTCTCATGCGGAGGCCGCGCTCTGTGAGTGGGCTGCGGGGAGGTCTCAGGAGGGACCCCCGTCGCATGAGGACCGCACCTCATGTCTTTAATCCTGGGGTGTCATGCGAAACTGGTACCTTGCATCACTCTCAAACTCCAGAGGGTTGAATCTCCAGGATGTCTCAGGCGGGGGCCTTGTCTGTGAGCGAACCGCGAGGAAGTCTCATGCGCGAGCCCCCTCCCTCTGGGGCCCGCACCTGATGTCCTTCGTCCGGGGGGGTCATCCGAAGACTGTAACTGTCGTCGCTCTTGGATCAAAAGGAAGTCTCGGGCGGGGGCCTCGTCTGTGACTGGATTGCGAAGAAGTCTCAGGTATGAGCTCCCCCCCCCACGGGGCCCGCACCTCAGCGCTTTCACCCCAAGGGGCCCCTCGAGATATGGGGGACCTCGTGAGCGGGAGCCTCTCGCCCGTGAGCGGCTTGTGCGGACGTCTCGAGCGGGAGCCCCCTATCGGGGCCCGCGCCTCGTGCATTGAGAAACCCAGGGATGGAAGCAGGTGGGGACTACCTTCGGACAAGCCGAGGTCTGCCGTCGGAGTGGTCTGAGAGGGTCCCCACAGAAGTAGTTTGAAAGGCTCCCGGTGAGTTGTTGGCCGATCCAGCCGGCCTTGCGGAAAGACCGGCTGGCAAGGAGCGTTCCGCTCCAAATGGCTCCAAGATGGCCCCCCCAAAACCAACCAAAAGTGCCCAAGATTGGCCCTGGGCGGCCCAAGATGGCCCAAGAGGCCCCCGAGACGCCCCACGAAGATTACCCCACGACCAGTCATGACGGAACAAAAGGCATCCAACATGTCCCAAGAAACCTCCAACATGACCTCCAATAGTGCCCACATCGTTGAGGGCCCATGGGTTGTTGAAGCATGTCGGCGTTTGCTCATGTTCGGCTCTGCGGCAACCTAAGACGACCCCAGAGGCCACCAACATGACCCCTACAAAACACCCCAAGACGGCCCGAGAGGCCCCGAAGACAGCCCCAAGACTGTCCCATATACTTCCGAAGCGGCCCCCAAGCGCCCAAATACGGACCCGCGACAGCCCAGAGAGGGCCCCTAAGACTGCCTCCGAAGGCCAAGATGTCCCGTAGAGGCCCCCAGAGACCCCAGGAGGCCCCCAAGAGGCCCCAGGACCCTCCCAGGGGCCTTTCAAAGGCCCCCGACAGGCTCCAGGAAACGTTCAGGAAACCAGAAGGCGGTCTCAAGAGGCCTCTTCTTTTTCTTCGTCTTCGTCTTGTTCTTCTTCTTATTATTCTTCTTCCCTTTCCATTCCTGTTCCTTATAGATAACTCCTCCCCGCCGCGCCCCGAGGCCACTCGAAAAGGCGGGCCGGGCGCTCCGACTGAGAATTCCTCACCATTCATGATCCTGAAATTAAAAAAACGGTGGCGGATGTTTCAAGCATGGAGGGCGGGTGGCTGTCAAAGTGTGGCTCTCGCCTTAACGCCGCACACATTATTTATCAAAGGTCGCGGTTGAAGTTTGTTTGTCGCTGTCCCTGTCTCTGTCTCTGTTTCTCCATTTTTTTTGTCTTTTTGTTCTCTCTCTCTCTCTATATATATATACACAAAACTGCATTGGCGCTTCGCGCCATGCGCCTTGTTCCGGACGCTTCCCCGACAAAGCAATGAATCATCGCTTGCGCCAGCAGGGGGGGCCTCGAGGCCTGGGCGGGCGATCGGCTCATTGTTCTGATTTTCCTGGTGCCTGCTGGCTCCGCGTTCGGAGGATGCGCTTGCACGCTTGTGCGCAAGAGCGGGGAAGGGATCCTGATTTTTAACGCCCGAAGGTGCTGGCAAACGACGAAGCATCAAACTGTTGTGATGCCACCTGTCCATGAACGGGGAACGGGAAGGGAACAGGGATGAGGGGGGGCTGAAGAGGCGGCAGAGTGGTAGGAGGGGGGCGGAAACGGGGAGAAGGTCCAGAGGAAGGAGCGGGCGAATGAAGATGGCCATCGGATGCCACGAACGTGGAGGTCGACGAAGCAGGCAGAGGGAGAGGAAGAGATAAAGAGAGAGAGACAGAGAGGGAAAGAGAGAGAGAGAGAGAGAGAAAGAGAGAGAGAGAGAGAGAGAGAGAAAAAGAGAGAGAGAGAGAAAACAAACAAAAAAAGAGAGGGTGATAGAGGCACGGGAAAGACAGGCGGGCTGGCGTGAGCGCAGTGAGCGCACGGAGAACCCCGACTGGACGTTTTTGGGGATCATGTGGGCCGTCCTGGGGCCCTCTTGGGCCGACCTGGGGCCTTCTTGGGCCGTCTGGGAGGGCTGGGGCCCTCCAGAGGTCCCCTGAAGCCATCTGGGGCCCTATTTGGGGCCTCCAGTGGCCTTCCTGGGGGTCTCCCATGGCTTTCGTGGGTCTCTCTTGGGAGCCTTCAGGGGGCATCTTGGGCTTCTTGTGGGCAGTCTCGGGGCTCTCTGGGGCAGCCTTGGGGCACTCTTGGGCTGTCTTCGAACCCTCTGGGGGGCCTCTCGGGCCATCTTGGGGCGATATCGGATATTATGTTTACATATATACATAGTATGTTTACATATATACACCCCTCAGGAAATGAAGCGATGTTTGCTTCTTCGGGGCTCTCTTAACGGCCTCTTGGGGCGTCTTGGGGGCCTCGCGGGCCGTCATCGGACCATCGAGGTTCCTCTTGGAGCGCTCGTGTGCTGTCTTGGGTCTCTCTTGCGCCTCTCCGATGACCCCTCTGGTCGCTTTGAGTCTGCTCGCAAGGCCCGGCAAGGCGCCATGGGAGGCCTGGAAAGGCCAGCGGACCTTTTCCAAGGGCGTCTCGGGGGCCGCCGAGACGTCCGAAAAGGTGTCCGGGGCGTCCCTGGGGGATGGTCCGGTTTAGGGATGGGGTGGTGATGTTTGGGGGGGGGTCCGGGTATTTCGCCGGCCCAACGGGCCAGAGGCGTGCTAAGATCTCGGGTAACAAGCTAACAATATAACAAATTCGCGCGCGCGAGGCGGCCCCTGGGGGCCCCGACGCGACAAGTACCCCGCCAAGGTCCCGGCAAGCCCCCGGCAAGTGCCCATCAGAGATGCCGGAGGCCCCCCAGACGGCCCAAGAGGCGCCGAAGACGGCCTCAAGATGGTACAAGAGAGCTCCGAGATGAGACAAGATCGCTCCAAGACGCCCAAGATGGCCCCCAGACGGCCCAAGAGACCTCCAAGAACACTCTGAACAGGGCCCCAAGAGGCAAAAAGCATATTTGCCATTAGGTTTTGGGGAGATTTTGGCGTTTCCACCTTTTCGGCTTCCCGACACCCCAAGACGGCCCAAGAGGCCCCCAAGACCGACCCAAGAGGGCCCCCCAAGAGGGTCCCAAGACGGCCCAAGAGGGCTCCAAGACGGCCCAGGAAGCATCGAAAACGGCCCAAGAAGGCCCCAAGAACGCACCAAGAGAGGTCCCAGGGGGGGAACACGAAACAACATTTCGAGCCCTCGGCCCTAAGAAGCACCCAGGAGTCCCCAAGAGGCCCCTAGGAGGCCCCAAGAGGCCCCCAACAGGCCCTCAGGAGGCCCCCAAGAGGCCCCCAAGCGGCCAAAGGCCCCCCAAATGCCCCCCCGAGCACGCAAGCAAGTGCCAACGACCTGACGCGTTCAAGAGTCCCCAAGAGGCCACCAAGAGGCCTCCCGAAAGAGTCCCCATAGGCAAAACACTTCCAAACGAACGGCGACGCGTCCAGACTCAACCACCGACCACCAAGAAACCTCACATGCCGAACGCAAGGCCTGACAAAAACAGCCGCCGCCCCTGCAGCTCCGCACCGCGAAAGAACACTCTGCCAATCGACAACGGCGCGCAATATGGGCCGGCGGAATGAGCGAAGCGATTCAATACAAATAACAGAATAGGAATGTGTGTGGTTCTCACCTCAGCGCCGCGCACATTAGTTTTTAACGCATTGCAAACAAGTTGACGGATTGAGGGCGGGTGGTTTTTCAATGTGGCTCTCGCCTTAGCGCCGCGCACATTCGTTGTAAAAGACTGTAAAGGCTTCACGGATTTAAGGCGGGCCGTTTTCAAATTGCGGCTCTCGGCTTATTGCCGCGCGCGTACTTTTTGGCTATTCTGGAACGATAATATATAATGCAGAGAAACCTGTACGAGCTTCACGGGTTGAGGGCGGGTGGTTTTCAACATGTGGCTCTCGCCTTCGCGCTGCGCTCACTCGTGTTAAACATTGACACGCGTTTCATGATTCTCACGGTTAACGTACCAACAAGTATGTTTTAGAGCGGCTCAAGATTGCCAGGGCGCGGCAATTATTCTGATCCGCGGAGTTGAAATCCCAAAACCGGTGTTCTGGCACGATTCAGGATCGCCAAAAAATACCAGTCGGGTTAACTCGTGGTTTGAAGACCTGAGAACCGTGCTTGGGCACGCTTCAGGATCTTGAAACGGTTGTCCTCCTACGGGGCAGTTCCCTCAGTGGGAGTGAACCCGTGTAGGGGCCCATGAAGAGGGGGCTTGGAGGGAGGGTGTATTCCAACCTCGTTGATGCGTATTGGGTTTATACTGGCCCTCCTCTTCCCCCTCGTCCTCCTTCTCCTCCCTGTCATCCTCGTTTCTCTTTCTCTCCCAGGTGTTCCCCCAAGGTACCCCAAGGGGTTGCAACAGCTGGGGAAGCACTAATAGTCCAATAGTTTGGCCAGGCTTTTGGCCAAACTTTTAGCCGCCTGGGCGTTTCCAGAAGGCGGGGGGCGGCGGTGGTTCGCTGTAAGCGTGTTTCGACCATGTCGCCAGTTATGCAGTGAAAATTATGTGGGGTCAACTGCGGTGCGCGCAATGTGATGCCATTCGTGTGCTAAGTATGTGGTGCAAGCTATGTTGTCAAATATGTTTGATGCAAGCTATGTGATGCAAACTGTGTAACGTAAACTTTGCGTTGCAAGCTATGCGCTGCAAGCTATGTGATGAATGCTGTGCGAAGTGCAGGTCCATGTGTGGCACGACAGGTGGTACACGTTACGCGTTGCGAGCTAGATGATGCAGTCTATGTGGTGCAGGCTATGGTGTGGTGCGAGCCATGGTGCGCCCAGCTCACGGGGCGGCCACAGGAGAAACCCTGCCGCACTCACGGGGGGGGGCCCACGAGGCGCCCACGGGCGGACACAGGGCGAAACCCCGGCACATTCGCCCAGCGCACGGGGCGCCCACGAAGCGCCCTTGGGCGGCTACAGCTGGGAACCAGGCGAAACACCCTCATGACCGCCCAATTACTCTGCAAGACAGTCGACCCGCCACGCTCGTGGACGAGCACGCCGCCCCCTGGGCCTCGGCCTCCTCGGACCCTCCTCTCCTGCCTCTTCCCTTCTCCTCCGCCACCTTCTCTGCCTCCTCCTCCTCCTCCTCCTCCTCCTCCTCCTCCTCCTCCTCCTCCTCCTCCTCCTCCTCCTCCTCCCCCCTCCCTCCTCCTCCTCCTCCTCCTCCTCCTCCTCCTCCTTCTCCTCCTCCTCCTCCTCCTCCTCCTCCTCCTCCCCCCTCCCCTCCTCCTCCTCCTCCTCCCTCCTCCTCCTCTCC